GTTTTTTATGTGTTTTGGATATTATTAAGATTAGCAAATAACAACAATTTATTAAATATAATGTTTATCCCATATAGAAACATGACTAGTAACACCTGTATGATTTCAAGGCCAAGTTCATTTAAAAAAAAAAAATTAATTGTATTAAGTTTTGTTTATTATTATTTTATATAAAATATTATTAATTGTTAATTATATATATTATAATATATAAACAATAAATATATAAATAATAAGTATTAAATGTAATTAGTATATTTATTCAGTTCTGTGCCTATAAATTATCAATTTCTTTAAGTTTATTATATTATGATATGTAAAAATGTAGTAAAATTTACATTATACTAAAGTCATTTTCTTAAAAAAATTTTATTGTTAGATTTTTTTTTTATATAAAAATACTAAATTCTACCGAATTACATTTATTTCCAAGTCAGGCCTACTTGTGTGTGTGTGTGTGAGTTTTAACCTTGATTGAAATTTATTATTATTATTTTATATGTTCTCTTCTAATAATTATAATTTTCTATTATTATTATTATTATATCATACTCTTGATTTTTTTTTTTTTGTTTTAATTTTTGGAAAATTTTGAATTTTTTTTTTAGGTTTACAAAGAACATGAATTGGGAGAAGATAATTTGTTGAGTGGACATAAAGAAACAATGGCTAACATATCTTCGCAGAGATTTTGCTTAAGGTGGAATAATCACCAATCTAATTTATTATCAGTTTTTGACCAACTGCTTCAAGATGAATCATTTGTTGATGTTACATTAGCAGTTGATGGCCAGTTTTTAAGAGCACACAAAATGGTTCTCAGTGCATGTTCTCCATATTTTCAGTCACTTTTTACCGATCATCCAGATAAACATCCCATTGTTATTTTGAAAGATGTTCCTTATACAGACATGCGTTGTCTCTTAGATTTCATGTATAGAGGAGAAGTATCTGTTGATCAGGATCGGCTAACTGCATTTTTAAAGTTGCAGAAAGTTTACGGATTAAAGGTGTGTGAAAGTATCGGTTAATAATTTTATTATCGTCATGATTGTCACATCACATGATTATTTGTTTAAGACTTTTCGAAACTACCTGAAACCTCAAAATTAGGAGAATTTGTAGATTTTCTATGCTTTTCACTAAACCTTTTGTCAGTATAGTAATCGTACAATGTTGCAATCTGCCAAATTTTTTTTTTTTTATTATTTAATTGTCTTGTTTATTGGTATTATAAAATCATAGCAATTGTATCATGATAAAATTGTAGCTTATAGTCATAGCGGTCAAGCAGCACTGAAAATAATAATAACTGTCTAATTTTTTTTAGGTTTAACAGAAGTAAATGAAGAAAAATGCGACCTTCCATCGATAACAAATTCCCTATTAGGTAGTCAAAACCTTCATAGTCATGTACCACCTCCCCAACTTCATAGGATATACCAACCTCCATCACTAAAACGAGCCCAAGTACACAATAATAATTTCCCTTCTCTGAACTCGGCTCCCCTTTTGGGATCGGCATTAACGGCTCCTAAAAGAAAACGCGGTCGCCCTAGGAAACTCTCGGGTTCATCAGACTTTGCTCCGGGTTCTCCCAATTCGGACACGGATGCCTCCGATGCAAAAACATCGGAAAGCATATTACCTGAATTATTGGAAGTGAAAATGGAGTATTCGGACAAGGATAGAAATCGGGAATCATCTTGCGAAAACGAAAGATATAGTAACGGAGAGGAGAGAAGAGAGAGACTTAACAATGAAAATGAACATTTGGCTGGTACATCGCATGTCGAACGGGGTAATGGCCACGATAGCGAATCATTTGCATTGGGTGAGTTTTTGACCGGATTTTTTTTTTTAATTTTCCCAAGTATATTATTATCATTTTATATATCATGCCAAGGTATTATGTTATTTATATAAAACTTGTCAAACAAAATAAAAAAAATTTTTTTTTTTAATTCATTCGTTCACGTGTGTAAGTATTCTTCTGTTAAATTCGCAATACATACATATTGAGACATTAGTTGGAATTAATAATAATAATATTAAATTTTGCACTTTACAAATATTTGTGTGTGTGTGTGAATGAATGAAGTAATAAAAGCCGCACAAGTATTTGTTTGTACAGTGCATTTAAAATTTTTTTAAAAAAAATTTTCGGAGTTGTCGTATTCAACAGCAAAAAGAAAATGTTTAAAAATTATTTATTTATTTTTTTTCTTTTGTGCAAAACTCATATAATTAATATCTATCTAAAGAAGACGGTTACTCAAAGGTAATTGAAATATTTCATTGTTAATGTTGTAGTTATTATTATTATTATTATTATTTTCGTTTGCACTGCAATGATGATGATGAGTTATTAAGACGTGTTTTATTTATTTATTTATTTATTGTATTTCGAAATTTATTTATTTATTTAAAAAAAAAACAATTTTTAATATCCCTTAGTAATATTTTTGCCTTGCACATTTTTTAATTTATTATATTATTATTATTTTTTAGCTTAGTTATTTGATTTGTTTGAATGCTTTAAGTAAAAAATTTATTATTATTATTATTTAGTTTTAAGTTAGTTATTAATGAATAATGATAATTTTCAGATGCTCTTTTGCGACCGAAAATAAAAAGGAGAAGTTCAGAGGAAAGCACGGGAGGGAATTTGGTTATAGATTTTAACAACATGGCGACAAAGTCGGAGGGAAACGTGTATTCGAGTAATACAAACACGTCCGGGAGTCCGAACACGTCGAATGAAAACGCGTCCGTCGTATCTGCTTCCACGACGCCGCAAACGGTACCCAAACCGGTGGTTAGAAGGCGCGTAAGACGAAGAGCAAATTCATCGAGTCAGGATCCGGCTGAACAATTGACGGAAATGAGCGTTCGCGGTAAGCAAAAAATTTATGAATGTTTAAAAAAGCAAAAAGCAGAAGACAAAGCGATTATAGCGAGACTAATTTCGTCTGAAATGTTGTCGTCAGGTTTAAATCTGTTTCGTTACGCATCCGTTCAAGAAGGTTTATACAAGTGCACGGAATGTGAAAAATCCGACGTTCTCAAAACGTTCAAAAACAAATACAGTTTTCAACGTCACGCTTTTCTCTATCACGAGGGTCATCAGCGTAAAGTTTTCCCATGTCCCGTTTGTCAAAAGGAATTTTCCCGACCGGATAAAATGAAAAATCACATGAAAACCGTACACGAATGCTTCGTTCCGAAAGACGTTTTTCCACCGAGTCCCGTAACGGGTGGATATTTTTTAACCCCCCCGCAACTACAACAGCAACAACAACAACAACATTTACAACTTAAACCTCCTCAAGTTACAAATTCTTCGTCACGTTCGACAAATCCTTTGTCTTCTCCAATGCCACCACAACCGTAGCCTCCTTGGAATTCTTTTTTAATTATTATTATTATTATTATTATTATTATTTATTACACAAGCAAACGCAGCTTTAAACATATTTTAATCCGGTAAATGCTTTTTAAAAAAAAAAAAAAAAAAAAAACAAAATTCAGGTTTGCACCACAACCACAAGTGCCTTGTTTTAATACTGAAAAACATTTACTCACGTTTTTTATATATATATTTATATTATTAGTACTACTACTACTACTACTACTACTTTTGTTTAAAACTATGTTTGCTCATGAAAAATATTATTATTATTATTATTAACAATATTGGCCAAAACTCATCGTCCATTTTGTTTTTTTTTTTTTTTTTTTTAAAGAATTTTATATTATTTTATTATTTGTTACTACATTTATATAATCTAAGATTGAAAATTACAAAAGTTTAAAATAACGATTCCCGGTAAAAGAAAGAAAATTCGAACCAAAAGAAAATTGTTTTATTATTATTATTATTATTATTATTGTTGTTGTTTAACTTTAAAAGAAAGAAAAAAATTAATGATAATAATAATGATTAATGAGAGAGATTTAAAAGTGTAAAAATGTCGAGATGATATTTACGTCTCTCGTACGTGTGGGGGTTGGGGAGGGGGTGCGGGGTTAGGGGAGGGAAGGGGGTGGGAAAAGCTCTTTAATGAATAACTGATTGGGAGCTAAATGTAAACACAGAATTTTATATATATATATAAGAAAGTATATATTTTACAAAAAAAAAAAAAGAAAAAAAGAAACATTTTGTAAATTTTAAAATTTAAGAAGTTTTGTTGACCGCGGAAAAGCTTTATTATTATTATTATTATTATTATTATTAATTATTTCACAGCACGGAAAAGTGTTTGTTTGTTTTAAGAAAAATGATGCAATATTAATTTGACTAAAATGTGATTTTTAAAACTTTTTTTTTTTTTTTTTTTTGGAAAAATTTTTCGGAAAAATGAAAATACATAAATTGAAGAAAATTATATATATATATATATATATATAGAATAAAATTAGTTTTTACGTTGTTAGAAAGAGAAAGAAAGAGGAAGAAAGAGAGAGAAAGAAAAATTATTCTTCTTGCTGTGATCAGTCTCGATAGCTTTTAAAAAAAAAAAAATTTTAATTATTATTATTATTGTTATAATAATAATAATAATAATAATAATAAAAAATGTGATGTTAATTTTGTAACGGATTTAAATCCTTTATATTATTAATATTATTATTATTATTAATTTTGTTTTTTTTTTTTTTTTTAAAAACTCGAACAGTGCCTTATTCATTGAGAAAAAGCGAGAATAATAATAATAATGTTTTTTTTTTACTCGATTATCTCTCTTGAATAAAGAAAAGAGAGAGAGAGAGAGAAAACTCTGTTATTCTTTTCAATTAATAAGTTATATATATATATACGAGATTATTATTACACAGCTTGAAATGAATATAATCGATTAAAAATATATATATTTATATTAATATATATTTTTAATTTTATTATTATTATTATTATTATTATTTGTAAATTTATTATTATTATTGTTTATATAATAATTTTAAAAAAAAGGAAAAAAAATTTATATATATATATTAAAATAAGAAGAAAAGAATTGTAATTTGTTTTATATATATATATATATGATAAGCTATCATAAGTAGATTTATATAACACTGTTGATAATTATTATTATTATTATTTTAAATAAGGGATTATTATTATTATTATTATTATTATATTATAAATTGTTATGAGATTTAATTTTTTTTTTTTTAAAGAAAAACTCAATGGCGATTTTAATAAATAAATAATGTTTGAAATTTAATAATTTTTAACTCAAATCGGTAGTGTTGTTGTCTTCGTTTAAATAAATATAATCATTCATTATAAATAAATCAGGTATCAGGTATTGAAGGTTTTAAGAATTATGAGTACGTAAACTCAACGGTCATTTTTATCAATAATCATTTTTTAAATCGAAAAAAAATCCGATTATTATTATTATTATTATTTATTTATTTGATATTATTATCGATTTATTTAAATTTTTTTTGTTGTTTTTTACTATCTTGCGTGTTTTCACGTGTACGTGCACGTGTACGAAAATATTTTAATAAAAAAAAAATCGCCGTAATTATTATTATTGTTGTTATGAAAACAAACAGAAAAAAATTAAATCTCAAAACTATTTTTTTATTCTCACGATTAAT